AAAAAGATACAAAACTAGCACAAGAACTCATTGATGAAAATATAGAATCGTCATATTATCATAGTGACCACTTCAAATCACATTTCACAACTACTCAAAGCAGTAAGGACTCACAACTAGCAGTGAAACTCATTAATGATCTTAAAGTACGGAATGATGTCCAATCATTGTGTTATGTACCACTAGTCTGTTCCATGGTCATCTTAGTTTATTGTAAGGAAGGAGGACACTTACCAACAACACTCACTCAACTCTATGAGAACTTTATCCTACAAACTATCAGAAGACATGTTAAAAGACATGACATTAACCCACGTACTTTAGGTAGTCTTTCTTCATTACCATCACAATTAGCTAAACCTTTACAAGAGATGTGTCAATTAGGTTATACTAACCTGACTAATACAAGAATGACATTCTCTTCACATCAACTACAGTCACTGAGTGAGGCAGTCAAGGAAGACTATCTTGGACTGATGACAACATTCACAGAATATGATGAGGAGAAGTATCAGTTCCTTCACTTGAGTATACAGGAATTTCTAGCTGCATGGTGGATAGCTAAGCACGAGAAGAAGACAGAGGAAGTGTTTAAGTATCACTTTGATGATGATCACTTTCGAATGTGTCTGAGGTTTGTGGCAGGTCTAACTCACCTTGAACATGAAAGCTATCAACAGTATTTTAATAAACAACTTGATTTACAGTGTAAGAAGGAATTGTTATTTGGATTTCGGACTAGTCATCTCTCTTACTTCCAGGTCAGACAATATTATCATGTTAGATCTAATGATTTTGACAATGTTCCCTTTCTTCTCCTCCTTCAACTTCTGTATGAATCACAGAACACAGCATTATGTCAAGTATTAGCACAATCCATCAACAACCACTCACTGTGCCTAGATAGAGATAGAATATTATTATCATTATTTGACTGGTTGTGTCTCAGTTATTGTATAAACAATTCCAATACAACATGGAATCACTTGCACCTTGGGCATGTATCTAACCAGTCACTATCAGTCTTTGCTGCTGGACTAACCAATAACTCACCACAGACCCAGTGTAAGGTACTGAAGGTAGAGGTAGAGCTAAGTTACCCCACTGATGGATTAATAGACACATTACAATCATCACTTTTAGTTTTATACAATATTCATGAATGCTACTGTGATTTAAAATATCGTGGTCATTATGTTCCCTGTCTTATATTGTTACAGTTTCTCAATCTTCCTCAATTAAAGATACTACACTTAGGAATGGATAATCCTACTAGATCTATACAAGCAGTTGACAATACATATTACGCAGACAAGTGCACTGAACTTGAGAAATATATAGAGACAAATTCAGCACTACAAGAAATGAAATTAACATTTATTGGAACAAATGAAATATCAAGCACGATTGCCAGTGTCATTAGAGGAGTAATAAGAAATAATACAATAACATCATTAGCAATACAAGTTGATCATAGTATTGTTATTCCTTCTCCTTTACCTGAAGGAGTAATAAAGCAGTTTCATAAGGTCAACAACACATTACAAGTTCTTTCACTTCGCATACCTGATAAACTCCTATTATCACTGAATACAGCAGAGATGAACACACCACTAACTTCTCTAGGGATAGGAGGAGGACAGAGGAGTAGTAAACTGATGACATCATCACTTGTTTCACTTATCAAAGGATTATGCTGTCTGATACTACTTAAACCATACCCACCATGTCTTCTTTTTCTATTTCTCTCTCATCCCAGTCTACATACACTTACTTTACCACTAGACACAGCTGAGAGTGCTATTGAACTATTTACTATTCTACAAACCAATACTACACTTAAAGCTCTGAGTGTGGGGATAAAAAAAGAGAGAGTGTATACCAGCAGTATGGGTACTAGTCTACAAGACATGCTAACACAAAACCAAACACTGAAATACCTTGAGATTAATGATTATGTATATTGTCCCATTCCCAGTTCATTCCTATCCTTCCTAACAACTGGTCTCAGACACAACACCAGTCTACAGCAGTTGAATGTAGACATTCCACTGAATGAAGAGACAAGAACTTTCATTAATGTCATCTCTCAAAAGAACAATCTCACAGAACTTACAATGTACTTCACACCAGATCAGTCATTTAACAAAGAGAAGTTACAAATAATGACACCATTGTTTTATGAACAGGTACTACCTGCTGTTACTAACATGTTACAGTCACATACAACCATCAGACTACTGAGGATAGAGTGTGCATATATTTATGATGATAAGTTATCTCAACCTAACTATATAAAACTAGCACAAAACTTATATGAAACTATCTTTATCCATCCATCACTTGAATATATTCATTTAAAATCTTGGATCCTGGAGGATGTTCTTAAAGATCAAAAACACACATTGGTTGATAGACACAGAAAAAAACAACCACACAAACCACTACCAATAATGTTTTAATTTATTAAGTGAGTCCGAAACATTAAAATACTATTCAATATAATAATAATAATGAGTGTTCAGGCAGTGCTTCTTTTTCTCTCCCTCTCAGCTCTTGTATAATGGCTGCCCTCTCCTCATATGACACATTAGCATTAGAAGTACATTTAGTATTTCTTACTTCTTACTAAACAATACTTTAATTTCATTTTAGAAATTTTCCATGAAATGAATTTTGATGACTTTTAATTTGACAATTTTGTGTACACATACATGTACAATGAACGTGTACATTAATGATTGGTAGGTTTAATAATTAGGAGAATATTTCAATTACAGTTTATCAAATAAAGGTGGATTGACAATATTACGCTAGTCCTGACGTTACATTGACACTAGTCAGTTAAATTTGATTCAATTCTAACATAAAGCATGAGTCAAAACGTCAAACCAGCCCACA